CCCAAAGCCACCCCACCGCCCCCCCCCAGCCCCGGCACCCGCCTCTCCCCCGGGGACGGCCCACGGACAGCGCGTGGGGGTAGGCAGGGCACCAACGCGGAGCCCAGCGGGGCAAGTTCACACCGCTGGAGGAACTATAAACTAGCAAAAATAGTAAGCAATTAATGATAAATATTCATGTATTATTTGCCTTTCGGCTTTGGTCTCTGCCCAGTGCCTTCAAACCCAGGCAGGCTTCAGGGTGGTGCCAAGAAGCATCCTGGTGTGCTACGGCGTGGCCTCCGTCACCCCCCGGCATCCTCCGCACCCACACACTGTCCTGCACCCCCGACGTCACCCCGCTCCCACCCCCGACATCACCCCGCTCCCAATGTCACCCCACTCCCACCCCCGACGTCACCCCGCTCCCATCCCCGACGTCACCCCGCTCCCATCCCCGGCGTCACCCCACTCCCACCCCCGACGTCACCCCGCTCCCAATGTCACCCCGCTCCCACCCCCGACGTCACCCCGCTCCCACCCCCGACGTCACCCCGCTCCCATCCCCAGCGTCACCCCGCTCCCACCCCCGACGTCACCCCGCTCCCAATGTCACCCCCGCTCCCACCCCCGACGTCACCCCGCTCCCACCCCCGACGTCACCCCGCTCCCACCCCCGACGTCACCCCGCTCCCATCCCCGGCGTCACCCCGCTCCCATCCCCGGCGTCACCCCGCTCCCAATGTCACCCCGCTCCCACCGACGTCACCCCGCTCCCATCCCCGATGTCACCCCACTCCCACCCCTGACATCACCCCACTCCCACCCCTGACATCACCCCACTCCCATCCCCGCATCCCAGCGGGCGGCGAAGCGCCCAGCGAAAAAACAGCTAAAGAAAAACAAACCAACTCAAATGCCCCCAGCTCCCAGCTTATCCGCGCCCAAAAATAGATCGAGTAAAAGGAGCGACGGTGTCACACCCAGATATAACGAGCACCGGAGCCCGTCGAGGAAAGGTTCAGCCCCAAAGGGGTTTCTAGTGGCCAAATCCACAGGGAACAGCATCCGAGACCTACGGGCACCCAGTGGGCAGCCGGAGGGGGTTTCCCCACGCCCGAGGCAATCAGCATCACCCTGGCAACGTCACATTTATATGTATATATATATTTTTTTAAATTATCTTTAAAAATATATATAAACATATGTTTTGTATATTTGATATACATACATTTTATATATATATTTTAATATATCTATTTTAAGTATCTTGTTATATAAATATACATATAAAGTATCTTGTATATATCTTTCATGTATATATAAATAAAGGATACTAAATACTTCAAATACTAGAAGATACATTCTTAATTCACATACGTATAAAAAAATACCAAAAGATATTAAATAACTATTTAAAACCCAGACTAGGCCTGAGAGCAGCCCCACTTTTAGCACTCGGAATTCAATTGTCAATACAGCGCAACTCAACATATACCACACACAAGAAAATCTCCAGCAAGTTTAATGCTTTTAGCGAAGCAAAGCAAACTCTCCCTATGCTGTGGCCAGAGGGGAGAGAAAAAAAAAAAAAAAAAAAAAATCTCTTCTTGCTCTTTAGGTTTCCTCTGATTTCTTCAAAATTAGAGATGTTCTTTAAATTAGAGATATTAGAACTGGAGAGCCATGGGAGTGTTTTTTCTGCTCCTCGTCTGTATTTATAGACGCGCGCGCAAATAGGTGCTGGTGGCTTTTCCTGGCAAAGCAACTGGTTTGCACGAGGGTTTCCTCTGCCCTAATTAAGCATCTCATTGACGACAAGTAATTAAGAATAAGGAAAGAAAAGATGGGCTGCCCATGGGGAGACAAAATGGCTTGTACGTTTATCCCGAGCCTTAACGTCACGGGCATTTTGGGATTAAAAACAAGGGGGTGGGGATAAATAAATAAAGCCAAAATACGCGGAAACGAGAATTGAATTGATGCTCAAGAGAGGAAACTTATTTAAGGATAATTTCTTTTGAAATAGGAGAAGATCCTGCAGATCCCATCAAATCACCTCCAGCAAAGCTGCTCAAGCAGGCATTTTCACCGCTCCCCCTCCAGTGACCTCCGACTGGGGCAAAACCACCCAAGTTTTGCCATTTACTAGAATGGTAACATATTTCTAATGTTTTGGGGTTTTTTTTTGTTATTTTTTAAAAATAGTAATTAATTTCTAGCCTCCCCCTTCGTGCTGTTCAGATGTCCCTCGTGCTTTTATTTCTCATAGCTGAAAACGATGGCAGAAGCAGAAATTACAAGGCATCCTTGCCATTGGGAACCCAAAAAATTTCACTGGCTTGGAAATGTTAAATGGTGCTTCACTACATCCCCGCTGCTTATTAAAATCTTCCTTTTTATCCAACCTTTGTAGAAAAGTCAGCATTGGGGTGACAGAGTTTTACTTTCCAAATTTCACAACCAATCTTTTTTTTTTTTTTTTTTTTTTTTTTTCATATCTTTCTTTCCCATTAACAGGATTTACAAAGATTTCAGGAAGGTACAACCTATCTTTAAGGGGAAAGATGCTGTTGCTTGGACGCAAAACACTCTTGAAGGGGGACTGCATCGCCCCGCTTGAGGCAAATAAAAGTATTCCCTGCTTCTGCTGAATTTAAAAATCAATTCTAAAATTAATTTAAATTTTTAAATTGTTGATTAAAACAGGGAGTGGTGTTTTTTTTTTTTTTTTCTTTAATTCCCCAAGGCGCAATACAGCATATACAAGGGGAGAAAAAAAAAAAAAAAAAAAAGACAAACACCCAAAAACAATCGAGACACTGTTGGCTCCTTCCTATAGGAGCCCAAACCATTCGCACGGCAGCAGCAAACCGGCTGATTTTTAACTCGCGCGAGGCAGGTCGGCGGAGCGGGGGGCAGGATCCGCGCTCCTTCCCAACGCCATCACATTTAATTTGTGCCTTCGGAGAAACAGAAACAACCCCCTGCCAGCAACTCCCGGCGGCACCTCGAGGAAATCCCTTCCCCTACCGCCGGCGGCGAGGTGTCGGGGGCGTTTTCCAGCCCATTTCTTACCGAACTATATTGAAACGTGTATAAATACCTTGGTAAAATATATCTGTACTGGATTTAGTTATACAAATAAAGCACTCCAGGTGAAGGCGGGCACGGAGGGGAAGCGCCGGGCATCGGCACCTCCTGGTTTCCATCCCCGTGACGCAGAAATCCAGGGGAAGGAGAGCCAAGAGGGGCTCGGGTTCCCCAAACCCAATTAAAACACAAACTCGTGTAAATAACTGGGGGATTTTACCATTTGAGCCCCCTTGAAATCCCAGCGCCTCTCCGGGACTCGATTGCAACTACAAAAATTGGATTTCCTACAAATTTAAAGGGGGGGGGGGGGGGGGGGGGGAAAGAACTAAAACATGACCACGTGAGGCTCTGTTCCCTGCCAAAAAAATCACATTATAAAAATAAATTCTATAATCTACTGAGGCAAAGTCACGGCCCCCCTAACTGGATGTATTAATAAAGCAGAATATATTTTTTTAGCTGTGAAAAAAAGGTATCAGCTTCAATTAGATCTCAATAATCTGAAGAAACTTGGGAGCCGAGCTGGAATAGAAAACTCGGAGCCAGCTGAAAACAGACCGATGCAAAATAAATCAGCATTTATTTCTGAGCTGTTTGAATGTCTTTTCTCTGGTAAAACTCAGAAGGAAAAGTAGCAGTACCCCAGCCTAAGGGGGAATTTAGGTAAGGATAAATTCCTTGTTTACATCTCCTTCGGACACGGTAAAGGTCGAGTCTCGGGTCCAAACTATCTTCCCAAACTCCCCATGTTTGGGTCCATCACTCTTAAAAAAAAAAAAGTCATCGGCGGAACAGCCTAAGGCTGCTGCAGAGATCTAGCTTAGAAATATTACAGCTGGGATTTTTTTTTTTCCCTTGTTTTTGAAGATTTTTTTTTTAAGGTAAGAGAAGGTGTGATCCCTGCCGAAGAAGAAATCCCGCTGCAGCACACGTGATGCCGGGCACGAGCCGCTCCCCCATCGATCCTCAATTACACAACAGCATCTCCCCCCCGCACCGCTTGCCCCATAATTTCAAAATTAATACTCCAACATCAACCCCGGGCCAAACCTCCACGCCAAGCAGCAGCAAATTATCCGACAGGACCATCCGATGGGTTGGGGTTTTTTTTTTTTTTTTTCCGCCGCACGGACCTTTTATCCCGACACATGTTGAGGGGGAAAAAAAAAAAAACAAAAAACCAAATCTTGCGACGAGGCAGCTACGCAACACGGTCCCGGGTTTTATTTTCTCTATTAAACGCGCGTGTCCCTGGCCGGCCTGGGCGCTCCCCTACACCTGATTAAAATAAGAGGGCGCACTTCGACGCAATATATAAAAGCGTTGAGTTTTTGGATCCTCTGGCAGTAAAAAGGGGGAAAGAGGCTTTCGGAAAGAGCAAATTACTTATTAAAAACAATATCCTCTGACGGCGCAGGCAGCCCCACTGCTGTGCGTGACCTCCCTCGGTGTAACTCCCAGCCCCCGCCCCCCCCAGGAGAAAGTGGGGGGAAAAAAGGCTTCCCCCCTCTCCAAAAAAACAAAAAAAAAAAAACAAAAAAAAAAAGGGAAAAAAAGGAAGAAAAAAAAAAAAAAAGCAGCTGTTTTTCACTGGCACCGGCGGGGAGCGGCCGCCCAGCGCCCGCCGCGGCCCCGCAGCGTGGGGTGGGGGGGGGTGTGGGGGGGGAAGCACGGCCCCGCTACCACCCGCGCTCGAGCCCCCCGTGGGAGTGGATGCCGGCCCGTGGGAGCGCTGCCGTGGGCCGGGAGCTCCTTTCCCCCGCCTCCGCTTTCCGGAGCGAAAGTAAAACCCGGCGGGGCTCCCCGCCTTGCCACCCCAAACCCCCCGTTCCCCCCCCCCCCCCGAACTCCCGGAGCTTCCCCGGTGGGATGGCGGCGGGGGGGGGGGGGCGGTTGTGTGTGTGATGGCGGGGGGGGGGGGTTACCTGAGCTTTTTGGGCACGGAATAATCCACCTCCATCACTTTGCCGTGCAGCTCCACTTTCCCTGCGGAGAGAGCGGGGCGCTCAGCATCACCCCGGGGCAGGGCCCCCCCCCCCCAACCTCCTCGCTTTCCCGGTGTTCCCCCCCCACCTCGCTCCATCCCAAACCACCCCCCCGGCCCCCGGCCCGCCCGCCCCCCCCCCGGCCTGCCCGTACCCGCCCTGCCCGGGCTCTGCCTGCGCCTCCCGGCCGCCGGCACCCAACCGCCCCTTCGGCCGCCCTTTGCTCCGCGCCCCCGGTGAGTTGGGGCAGGGCACCTCGTAAAATGGTTCCCGAGGGGGAGCGGGTGCCGGGGGGGCGGTGGGTATTGGGGCTCCGCGCCCGGTCGCCTCTTAATAAAATCGAAGAAAAAAATCAGCGAAAAATACCCGAGGTTGGAAAGAGCCGGGGCGGCCGCGGGAAGGAGGCGGGGGGGGGGGGGGGGGGGGGGAGAAACGGGGACCGGCGGGGATGCCCGGGGAGGGGGGTCAGAGGGATGGGGGAACCCCGGCGGAGGGGGGATTGAGGGGGGGGGGCGAGGGTGCCGGTTGAGGTTGGAGGGAAGGGGGGGGGGGGGGGGGGGGGGGGTGTCGCTGCGCCTGGCTTACCCGAGAGGGTCTCGATAGCCCGGATGGCCCAATTTTGGTCCGGGTAATCCACGAAGGCGTAGCCCGACTTGAGCAGGACCTGGCCGGCCAGGGGCAGCTTCCTCTCCCCGAAAAGCTGCTTGAGGTCGTCGGCGGTGACGGCGGGGCTGAGGTTCCCGATGTACAGCTTGTTCATCCTCCGTCGCTTCATGGGGAGCCCCCCCCCACACACCCTCCCCACCCCACCACCCCCCCCCCACCCCCCCCACCCCCCCCAACCCCGGGCTTCTCCCCGCCCCTCGGCGGCCGGTAGAGACGCGGGGACGGGAGGGTACGGCCCTGCCCCGGCCCCAGCCCCGGCCCCAGCCCCAGCCCCAGCCCCGCAGCAGCCTGCAAGCTCGGCGGGCGGAGCCGAGCCGAGCCGAGCCCAACCCGCCGCCCCCGCCCGGCCCCGGGGCCGCCCCGTCGGGTCGCGGCGCTTCGGGAACCGGGGGAGCCCCGAGCCCCCCCCCCCCCCCCCCCGCCGGGGTGTCTCCACCTCGGGGCGGGGGAACGACACGCCGGCGGCCGGAGCCAGCTCCCCTTCCCCTGGAGGTGCGTGGGGTCGCCTTGCCCGGGGAGAAGCGGCTTCCAGAGGGGGCCCGCAGAACCCCCCCCCCCCCCCCCCCCGGGAGCGGGGACCCCCCCCAGTTTCAGGTCGCGGTGGGTCTGGAGGAGGTGCCTGCAGCACCCTCCCTGCCTGCGCACCTCTGCCCTTCGCTGGCAGGTCGCGCCCTGTCCTCGCTCAAAACCACTTGAGGAGTTCCTTCACGGAGTCTCGCTCAGGAACCAAGCAAAAAAAAAAAAAAAAAAAGAAAAAAAAAAAAGAAAATAAATGAAAAAAAAAATATCAGTAAATAAATACGTTAAACGCGCTTTTTTTTCAGAAAGCACAAATGTGCCAACCTGCCCCGCCCGAGGTCGGAGCAGCCGTCGCTACGTGCGAGCCCAGCGCCCCAAAAGCTTCAAGAACCGTCGAGCTGGTGCTCTGACCCCCCCAGCGCTGAGTTTTGCGTGTTCTCAGCTGGGGGGGGAGCCGGCCGCTGCAGCCTCTGGGGCATGCGGCTCTCGGGGGCTCCGCTGAAGGATGTCCCCGAGTGGCCAAGGGTCGGGGTCACGACCTGCCTCGCCCGCTCAGGGCTGGACGCTGCAGGTTAAAGGACTTTTTTTCTCTCACTTATTGAGAATATGAAGCCAAATCTTTGCGGAAGTGCATCCAGGCCGTGACCGGAGATTAAAATAAGGTGCAGAATTAATGCTGGTCAATGGGGGGGGGAGGGGAGACAAGTGTCCTTGGAGCGGAGTGTTGTGCCCTAGGGCCAGTTGTCATTTACTGAGAGGGGAGGTGAAGGGTGGTAGTAGAGGTGGCCCTGATTTCAAGCTGTATGGCGGGAGAATTAAAAGCGTCGCTCCCTCCTGCCGTGCTCCATCCCGCTGCCGCTCTTCCCCTGTCATGCGGAGGTGCTGGATGGAGTAGGAATAGCAGTGACGGGTGCTTGATGCCATGCGTATAGCAAAAATAGATGTGGTTGGACTGCGATGATGCAAAGCGAGAAGAATCCTTTCTCCTCCAATTTCTTCGTCTTTCCTTTCAATGCAGCTCCTGCCGGGCTGCCGTTTAGCAGCGGGGCTGGGGGCTCTCCCATCCCCAGCACCTTTTTCAGGTGCTTTGAGGCTGAAATGCGTCGATAGCGTCCTTTTTTAAAAAAAAAGCTTACCCTCATTCAAGTCGTTAATTCCTCCTCAGCGATGAGCTACCGACAGTAACGGGGCAGGGAGCTGCCGTTCCATCGCGTGAGGTCATTGCCCCCGGGAAGCGGCGGGAGAAACCCGAGGTTGCTGGAGTAATTAGTGCCCACAGGTTGCAATACTCATTTATGACTCGCTGCTCAAGTCTTTTGCAGGAGCTGGATGTCACGTAGGAAGTCTCCTGCAATTACCTGCGTGATCTCATCCCTCCTGCCCCTCATTTTTGGCTTTGCGGCAGGAGCTCAACAACCTTCTTCAGATGTTTTCCCAACCCTATGGAGCTGGCACTGTCTTTCCCAGAGTTTGGGTGAACCCGTCTCAGTCCAGATGAAGTGATCAAGGGAAGTAAGTGCTTTGGGGAGGAAGATTTAAGAGCACTGGTACAACACAGCTGGCGAGGCAGCAACCACGTGGACAAAGCTGGGAGTAAATGGTCCTGAAGTTGGAGCAGGACCCAGCAGGGAAGGCGAGTCGTCTTCGATCGGCAGCCCTGCAGGTGGGATGTGCAGTGAGATCATTCCTCTCTGAAAAGAGATAGTGACATGGAACGAAGCCGGGAGGTGGCGGCGAGAGTGATAAGGAGAGCAAAAAAATTGTGGGAGCAAGGGGAGGTTGAAGGAGAGTTTGTTTAGTCTGGAGGAGGACAAGATAACAGGCTTGTGTGTGTGAAAGACTGCTTTGACGAGACGGGAGAAAACAGGAAAAAAAAAAACCCGAGTGTTTGGTTGATCAGACATGGGAAGAGAAGGAGGTGGTGCTGTTCCTCAGCTGAAGGTTTTGGGAGGAGGTAGGACAAACATCTGGGACTGCCACATCCACCCTGGTGCTGAGGCTGGCCCGAGGGGGTTCCCGAGTCCCCTCCAAGCTCCTGGATAAACGGCTTGGCTCACAACACTGTTTTACCCAGAGCCTTTGGTAAGCCTGTCTTGGAAGAGGCAGGTTAAGAACAGCGAGGTTTCATCACCCCTTTCTGACAGACTGGTCTTACTGGGACCTGCAGTCAGGGCACCGGGTGGGCTCCTGTTAACAGATGCTTTTGGGGGAGCCTGGCTGGGGCTGCATTGGGGCATCCGTGTTGGGATCCCTCCTTGGATCCTGCAGCTGGAGCATCCGTCCCCAGAGGGTGTTGGGAACAGGACAGAGAAAGGGACAACACGGGGGAGGATCCGGCCTTGAGCCGACCGGGAAGGTTACGGTGAAACCATCACATTTCCGTCAGTAGAGGGGCTCCAGCTGTGGTGTGCTTGGCAGGGCTGGCAGCAAGCTGGACTTGGGGGTGATCCCAAGGGAAATGTCCTCCGTGAGCTGTCCCCCCCACTGTCACCGGGGATCAGAGAAGCCTGGGCATCTCCCCGGGGGCGGCGGGGATGCGAAAGCATCGGTGGACAAGACAGGCCTAACATTTGGCCGTGTGGCCTGGCCAGATCTCTTGGTCAGACTTAGGCGGGGCAAAGAGCGTGGCTTTTCTGCTGGCGGACGGGAAAAATCACACGCCGGCTCTCTGCAGCCAAATAGAGGAGGGTTATAGCCGCGGGTGTGTGCCCCAGGGGGTGGATGAACGGGCTGCGTGGGGGGAGGAGGATGGGCCAGGCCACCCACCCACCGTGCTCCCCAGGGGCTGCATCAGCCCGGCAGAAGCAGCCCAGCTACCTGGCTCGGGAGGAGCCTGCCTCCTCTCCTCTTTCTGACCTGCTCCCTTTTCCCTGAAATCCCGAAGGATATTTTTCACTCGTTCATCACACAGGAGAAATCTCAGCAGAGCTTTGTCCCATTCTCTGCCCCATCGGTTGCGGGGGCGAGATGGGGATAGAGCCACTCGTCACTCTGTGCAGGGATGCCCTTCTGCCTGCAGAGACTTCACAGGAGAGGCAGTGCCAAAAAAAAGAGCCCCAAATACCTCCCCCCCCCCCAATGAACTCATTTCCCTTACAAAAGGACTTACTGTTTTTTCTGCTGAGTTGCAGAGGTGACTTCACTTGCTACCATCAGCGTGCGCTGGTGGAGCGGCTCTCACCTGCCCTCCACCACCGGCTGCCAGGGATGAGGCACCACGAGACTGGAGCAGACCCGAAATTTAACTCTAGCATAGCGTCGATCAACCTTCTCGGCTTCCAGAAACCTCCTAGCAAGAAAGGCAAGCAGCTGCTGCGGAGGTGAGGGAAGAGCATCTGGCTGCAGTCAGCAGTGCCGAGCACCAAAGCAGCCCACCTCGGTCGGGTGAGATTATCCATCACAAACAGCCTCGTTGAGAAAGGAATTCAGAATTCGGTTGCAAAACGCTTCTGTACTTTTCAAGCCACGGGGGGCAATCGTTTTGCTCACCGCTTGCTAGGACACGAGCAAAGATCAGAATTTTGGAAGCTTTCAGGTCACCGGCCCTTAGCACTGGGGGATGCTGAGGTGCAAGGCAACTCTCATGGCTGGATAATTGGATTAATAACTGAGTCTCTGTTAATTACACCTATACAGGGGCCGAGCATGACTGAGATGTAACTCTCTAAGTTTTTAACAATGGGAACGGTGGACAGAGACTGTCAGTAGTGATGTACCAATAGCTCCTTTCCCAACAAGCTAAAAGTTTTACTCACCTAAGGTGATCTTGAAGGTACGGATGTCCAGGGCCATGGCGATCAAGCAAGGCCAGGTGCCGGAGATGGACACCCAGGAGAGCCCCACAGAGCCCTACCCATCCTACTGAAGCAGGTAAAAACAAAGGGTCAGCTCCTTTTGGCTCCAAAACGCAGCTCTGTTGGGTCAGGAGCACCTGCCTTTCGCGTGACTGGCTTGCTGGAGCTGAAATGTGAAGCACAAAATTGTTGGAGCCCAAATTAAGGAGTTGCTAGGGGAAAAAAACCAGGATTCTTAGGAACTCACAAAGTTGCTTGTGCAAGGGGGTGACAGGAGAATCACAGCCCTGGGCTCGCCGTTCCCTGCTGGACACCAAGACCCAGTTTCAAGTTAGTTTGTATTTGGAAAGCCACCTTACAAGCTGAATTCAGTGACGTTTTTTGGAACGTATGAAACCCACGACTACCCCTGAAGCTATCAACCCTTGCGTGCTGATGCTCAGCAGCTCCTTCCATCTATCCCACCCCCCCACCCCCTCCCCGGGACCCTCCTCGTGCCTGGGGGACCGGGGAGATGCTACAGGGCTGCGCAGGGACCAGAGGGTATCTCATACCGGCACAAACTGACCCAGAGGAAACTCCACCTGCACAGGCTGGGGAAGAGACCAGCAGCGCAACGGCACAAACATTGCCCAGTTTCCTTCCCCCCCCCAACTCTCCCCCGTGCTTTTAAAGTTTTCTCTTTGTCCTACTCCTGACGGGAAAGCGGGTCAGCAAAGGGCACGGCCTTTCACATCCACCCCAGGCAGATGTTGCTTTTGCAGAGGATGCTTCCCCAGCGCCGGTGGGATGTCTGCAGAAATTTGAGGGTGGGCTTCCCCCCCCAGCTCCGCCCCGCCGCCTCCCCTGCGAGGAATTTTCTGCGTTAGAGGCTGGCAGAGCATCAGGACGTCCAGCAGTGATTCAGCCGTGGTTTCGGAGCGCATCACATACCACAGCAATCCGTCACTCCCGCGTAACGGGGCAACATGACACACGCCGGGGAAGCATCTGACCCAGGGGCTGGTTCTGGACTGACGAGCCCTTGGAGTGATTCAGCGGCAGGAAAACACCCAGACAAAAGGCTCTCCCCTCTGCAAGGCTACGGCAGCACCGGAGCTGCTGCTCTCCCCGAGCCTTCCAACAGCTCAAAAAGGGATTTTAGGGTGCGTATTGGCCCGCTGCCTCCCGCTGACACAACACCCCTGCTTGCCTTTGTACCCTCGGCGGGGGGAGAAGCTCGCTTTGGCCGGGCTCCGCAGGGGATCCGAAGCCTTACCAGGAGCAGCGGGTATCCCCGTGCGGGGAAGGGGTGGGGAGGATGCTCCACTGGCAGCGACAAGCCCCGGGCTGAACTCAGCTGCCAGGAACCGCACCGGTTGCAAAACCCTAATTTCACCACAAACGTCAAAGCTCACCCAAGGACGCGCGCTCTCGACTGCGGGTTTGTCAACCCCTGCTGAGCGAGATTCAAAGGAAGCTTAGGACCGTGAGGAAGACAACGCACTCAGAAGGGTGAGGAGAGCGCTCGCTCTGCGGAGGAGAAAGGTCAGCTCTGAGGGGGGGGGGGGGACTCCAGCACCCCGGGGAACCCTCCCTGCACCCATCTAGCCGGAGCCCAGCACCCCCCAAACACCGCTCACCGCGGGCAGGGGCCCCGAGAGATGCTCCCGGCCCAGGAGCAGCACCACTCAGCCCCCTGGGATGCTCGAATAGCAGATTTAGGGAGGGGGTGTTGCTGCTGATAGTTAAAAATAATTAACTGCTCAACACCCCTCCAGGCGGCTGCAGCAGGGAGGGCTTATTTCTTCCGTCTCTTGCTTTGTGCGACTGCGTGGTGTTCATCAAAAGGGGAAAGCACTTTCTTCCCTCCAGCAGTAGGGAACGTAATTTTTTG